ACCGGCAGTGACATCCATGGGGAAACATCACAGTGTGGCTTTCCTCCGCACCAACTCCGTAATTCCTAATAGAACACAGGAGGTCAAGTGTCGTAAGATGCTTGCATCCTAGTTGAACCGTGTTGGAAGTGAGCCTGTCTTGTCTGATGGGCATTATGACCTCTAAATGCACTTTACACTTAGGATTGCTTGTACGCTTTCACCAACACCCCATCTCTCCTCTCTTGTTTATGACTAGCATTATTTTTAAACTTTAATTGCATTTGGCCCAGCCATAGATTTTAAAATGTGTGTTGTATTACTGTTATTGTTATTGCTTTCTTTGTTTATGAGTTTTATTTTAATTGTTTATTGTTGTTGTTATTGCTTGTATTGATGTATTGTGGGCTCAGCCTCATGTATTGTGGCGCAGCTGGCTGAGTGTCAGCTGCATTAAGATCACTCTGACCAAAAGGTCATGCGTTCGAAGCCAGCCCGGGCTGGAGTGGGTGTCCAGCCATTGTGTAGCCCGTTGTCGACCTTTGCAACCCGAAAGACAGTTGCATCTGTCAAGTAGGAAAATAAGGTACCACCTTGTGTGGGAGGCTAAATTTAACTAATTTATGAGGCCATAAAGAAAGAGGACTCCGGGGAATGTGGAATGCGGAAGAACTTCATCGGTGTCGTTGATGGACGATGAAAAGCAGCAGCTCCCCTGGCGGCCAGAAAAAAAAAAGTTAAATAGCCTTTGTCTGTTAAATGTTGTTTGTCAAACTGGCATTGAATGTTTGCCATATATGTGTTTACTGTAATCCGCCCTGAGTCCCCTGCGGGGTGAGAAGGGCGGAATATAAGAACTGTAAATAAATAAATAAAATAAATAAGCCGCACCGAGTCCCTTGGGGAGATGATAGCGGGGTACAAATAAAGCTTTATTATTATTTATTAATGTGGGGCTCCATCATTACAATGCTGAAAATTACTCGTGTGATGAGGTCATAGGTCTTTCTTCTGTACTATGAGCAAACACAGATTTGGGGTTTTTAAAAACTATGAGTAGAACAAAGGTATGTTAGAGAGGAGCCCCCAGTGGCGCAGTGGGTTAAACCCCTGTGCTGGCAGGACTGAAGACCGACAGGTCGCAGGTTCGAATCTGGGGAGAGGGATGAGCTCCCTCTATCAGCTCCAGCTCCTCATGCGGGGACATGAGAGAAGCCTCCCACAAGGATGATAAAAACATCAAATCATCTAGGCATCCCCTGGGCAACGTCCTTGCAGACGGCCAATTCTCTCACACCAGAACCGACTTGCAGTTTCTCAGGTTGCTCCTGACATGACAAAAGAGAGAGAGAGAGAGAGAGAGAGGAGATGCATGGCTGTGGGTGAGTTTGCCTTTAATGTCAGTCTGTGAGAATTGCCTTTTTCTGTGTATTAATATTTTCAGCTCAAGGGAGATGCATCTAGCCCAGGCTTGGACAAACTTTAACTCTCCAGGTGTTTTGGACTTCAACTCCCAGAAATCCCAGCCAGCTTATCAGCTTTTAGGAATTGTGGGAGTTGAAGTCCAAAACTCTTGGAGAGCTGAAGGTTGCCTATGCCTGACTACTACAACCCCCTTACAGGCTGGAAGATACTGCTGAAGCACCCTCCAAAAAATGTCAGTCAACAATAGCCTTTATACAAAGTGTCTGTGCGCTGCACTCACTGGTTAGCAAATAGCTTTTAATAGTAGTCATGCTTTGAAATGAACAAGGCTCAGATGTTGAAGATCCCTAATTCATTCCCTATAAACCAAGCCATGGACTCTTTCCCAGTGTGGGTTTAGACAGAATCCTTCATAGTGTCTTTATGCACTTTGGTATAACACTGTGAAGTTTGTTTGTGTGTTGTTTATAGAAGGCAGAAGGAGCATTTGCCTGTCTTCTCCCATGGAAGAAAATGAGGCACAGAATGAGTAGGTGACATTTAAGCGTTTGTGTGACCTTGGTGTGGGAGTTGACAGATTCTGTGCTTCCAGATGCCCATCCTTAATGTTTTACTCCTCTCCTCTTTCATTGTATTACAAGATTCTTTGTGGCCACTTGTGATACCTGCCAACCATTCGGGCAAAAGAGGAATATAACAACAGTATATAGGCATAGACTTGAAATTACTTTCCCGTATATGTGTGTTGGTTGGGGTATTTTTATAGAGAAAACTGACTGATAAATGCCTTAAATAAAAGTATGGTCAGCCTTGGAGAGCACTTTGTTGAATTAAAAAAGGAAGATATCTTATCAGTTTACTATACTTGTGAACTGCATTCTCTATACAGGTTATATTCATGTATGTATGTATGCAGCAGTTCTTGATATCGGTTTGAATTATTTCCTTTTCTAGTGCAATTAAGGTGAAACAGCAAGAGAGAAAGCTGGAACATACTGAATAGAAACAATCCCCTAGACAGTTGTGTACTTTAGCATAGTTCACTGTCTGTGGGAAAGTTCACACCATGTGAATTAAGCAGGGAACTGATGACCCAACTCTTTATCTGTTCTGAGGATAGTGGCTCTTCTTTTTGTCATACCAATCTTCCTGGGTTAGTTTCTCTTGAACACAAGAGGCCCGGTAAATTTATATTCTCACTGCTGTTTAAAGACTGTAATCTCAGATTTCATTTTTTTCATGGGTTTAATAACACACTTGAGCTATTTGCTCTACAGTTTTAGAGCAAACAGCACGTTATTTTCGCTTGTTCCTGTGTGCTAAACTGGATTGCGCAGTGGATGTGTCTGTTGATGCTGTTTATACTGTTGGTTACACTGTTGAAGTTTAGTTCTGGGGTTGAGAGAAAGACTGAGAAACAGCCTTTTTATTCTTTCCTCTTTAGCATTCTGTGCATTGCACCCTTCATCTCAAGGCAAACCAATACAGAGGCACATTTAAGATGAGTGATGACTATTCAAATCTCTGAGCTGGATTCCGTTTTTCCTCTGCCTTGTTCCAATTTGATGTACTATAATACATTGTGATTATGAACTTTAAGTATAGAGACACTTCTTGTCATTTTTATATGATTTGATGCAAGCACACAAATTCTTCACTGAAAAAATGTGTAGCAGTTGGATGTTTTAGAGCAGTGGTTCCCAACCTTTATTTGACCAAAGGCCACTTTGACCAGGGCCCACTTTGACCAGGGCCCACTTTGACCAGGGCCCACTTTGACCAGGGCCCACTTAACCAGGGCCCACTTTGACCAGGGCCCACTTGACAAGGGCTCACTTTGATCAGTGCACTCTTTGACCAGGGCCCGCTTGACCAGGGCCCACTGTAACTAGTGCCTACTTCAACAGGGAGCATTTTGACTGGGGACCACTTTAACCAGGGACCACTCTCCAACATTAATACCAAAAGGTGTGAGGCTTGTCAGCTCTACGGAAAGGAGCAGAAATAAAATAAAATAAATAAAGAGGAAGGAGGTTCGCAGCCTGGATTTTTGTTCTCATGACCCACAGCTGGGCCACGGCCCACAGGTTGGGAACCACTGTTTTAGAGGGTTCTAGAAAATAGAAATAATGTGTAATTGTTACTGCCTGATGGTCATTTGCTACTGGTATAACATTGTTCCTTTTCTGGAGTAATTATAAAGTAGGCAGGGAACCTGTGAAGGACAAATATCTCCTCCATCCTTTCCCGAGAGTATATTTGTACGTGTTATGCAGAATTCATTATTTAATATTGTTTATAATGTCCCACTATGTCCCACAATTTTTGTTCCTGGGTTATAAATGTCATTTGCTAATTGGTTCTATCATAGAAACATGGGAAAAGTTTATTAAACTGCAAAAACTTAGTTTTTGTGGGACAGCCTTCAGCACATTTTGCTTTGGGTTTTCAACCAATATCTCACAGAGTCTCAACCAATTTAACATAGTTTGTGGCAGCCACAAAAATGATGTTTCTGGATTATAATAGCTACTTTCAAAGTAAGTACCAGACAATTAAACAGGAAATAACACTTTCAAACCAGGAACAGAATTTTCTTCAAATTTTGTTACATAGTGTTATGGCTCTGGAGGCCAGAGTTCAAGTTCTCGCTAAACCTTTGAAACCCTCTGGGTGACCTTGGATAGTGTGTCTCACTCTCCCAGCTGCAGAAGGAAGTCATGGCAAAATCCCCCTGAACAAATCTTGCCAGAAAAACCTGTGGATAGGTTTGCCACAAAAGCTCCAGAAATCCAAAACGACTTGAAGGCAAACAGCAGTGTTGTATTACAAAATGTAGCAGTCAGAGGATCCGTTAAGATTTACATTGTGGGAAAGCTCTAGACCAGGAGTCCTCAAACTTTTTAAACAGAGGGCCAGGTGAAAGTCCCTCAAACTATTGGAGGGCCGATTATAATTTGAAAAAAACATGAATGAATTCCTATACACACTGGACATACCTTATTTGTAGTGCAAAAAAAAACCCCTTTAAAATAATACAATAATTAAAATGAAGAACAATTTTAACAAATATAAACTTATTATTATTTCAATGGGAAGTGTGGGCCTGCTTTTAGCTGATGAGATAGGATTGTTGTTGTTGTTGTGTGCTTTCAAGTCATTTCAGACTTAAGTTGACCCTGAGCAAGGGCCAGGTAAATGACCTTGGAGGGCCGTATCCAGGCCCTGGGCCTTAGTTTGAGGACCCCTGCTCTAGAGGTGCAAAAATGCCATGCTTAGAGAGTTGAACTTATTTTAAAAATAGATTTACTGTTTCTGGAAAATGGGGTATAGTAGTTTAAAACAATAACTGTTGATTCAGCTATAATGAATTTGTATGTTTTGCAATAGTATGTTCTCTGATGGAATTCAGGTCCACTCAAGCTTAATAAACTAAATCAAGAATTAATGTATATGGCATTTTGCCCTGTTAATGCAGAACTAATGCTTTAATCCTACTTTAGGCCTAATAGTGTTCTAATGTGAAAACAATTACGTTTTAGGTTGTAGTCAGTTCATAATCTTTGGGTTTTTTAGTTTGTGTTTTATTTTTGCAGGAACTTGTTTCCGTCAAATCTCATCGCTGCAGCCTTTCGATCGGTAATGCCTATTTTATTTTTATATCTTTGTTTGGACCAAAATGTCTGGAATGTTTCACAAAAAGATTCTCATTTGTTCTAAAGAGATGTTATCTTTGCTATAATTTTAGAAAAACACACACATTTATATGTATAATCAAGGAAACCGATCATGTACTTTCTATATGCCATAGTAAAATAGTCCTTCAGATTCTGGTGACCCATGCCGTGATTGTAAGAAAAAAAAGTGGGCAATATGCCCTGAACTTGGAAAGTAACTTTTGGTGCTACCAGTATCTTGCACCCAGTGTGGACACTCCAAAAAAGAAATATGTTGAATTTGAATGAACCATAGAAAATGCATTTGCAAACTATTTTTTTTTCAACTGGAAGGTAAAGGTATAAGTGAGTTCTGAGTGATTTTTCTGAAGAAGTCCAGTTGATATGTTTTCCATTAAGTTGGTATGCTTTCCATTCTTTGCATTGAAGCCCATAGCATTATCAAATGCTGTTTGATTATTTATCTTTTCCATTGGCACGTGTCATTTATTCCCTCCTCAAGCCCCTACAGTTGATTCTTCTGCCTTTTCACCAAATTCATAGTCCTTATGCAACTCTTTTGTGATCATTCACTGTCCCACACAATCTAGTTAGTGACTACAGCCAATTTTCTGGACTGTAGAAATACAAACCCAAAAGTTGACGGGCTGTAATCTGACTAGCTAGGCATAATGCCGTGTTCTGAAAACCCCGGTCGCTTAAAAAAAATCCTGTCCTGCCTTGGCCTCTTTTCTTTTTAAATTTTTTTGTTATTCATGTAATAAGATCCAGGATTTCATTTAGACTCTTCCCACTGTGTTCACACTGTCCTTATTAATTCAACTCAGGTGCCTTAACAAAAATGTCAGTAAGTGATACCCTTTTTTAAACAAAAGATCCAGGCAAACATCTACTGCACTTAAATAGGACTGAGACATCAAAATGTGGTACACACAAAGTCCACTGGGTTCAGATGGTTCTACTGCTCTCAAAGCTTTTTAAGGACAGCCTTCATTTTTGTGTAGCTATGGCTTTGATCTTGCACTTAGTCTACAATTTTAACTGGTGGGTAAGTCTTATGAGTACACCTGGTACATTCCCATTTTTTTTATAATGGAACAGCTTGCATATGTTTGTCATCTTTGATTGGCCATGCATGGCCCCTGCTTCTAAAGCTAAAATGGGTTTTGTCCCAAAACTCAACCATTTGGACATGGCAATGTTTGACTACAACTTTCACAAAATGGTAAATATTAAATGGCTGGATGCCTTTATTCTCCCTTACGCAGACCAAAATGCCACCCCCACCCCCCATAGATGTATTCTTACACACCGAATGTAAGCATCATTACTCATCATGCACAAGCAATTGGACCGCATTCAATAAGATGACACTAGTGTTAAGAGAACTTCATAGAGGTTTCAGGAAATAAGAGCCTTAAGTTGAGAAAGCATCTCTTTTTTCAGGAAAATGTATGCTTGAGCTCTTATTTTAACTGTATCATCTTATTAGAGTGTGTTGTAGTTTTCAAGATTACATCTAAGAAGCTTCGGGTGCCTCTTCATAGACTGTATAACATTGATCTTGTATACAGCTTATCAAATGTTAATTCTTTTTTGTTCTTCACTTCCAGTATGCTACTGACTATAAAGCAATAGTTAGAAATGCAACTACTGGAAATGGTACAATTGAAAAGGTAAGCAGTGGTTCTTCATTTGTCTTATTCATTGCCCACAAGTTTTAGATTAAAATTCTTTTAATGTATTTACAGTACATATAATAAATAAATAAATAAAATTATTTGTATCCACCTTCTCTCCCCAAAGGGATTCAGGGCAGCTTACAACAAGCAACAAATACAATAAATAATATCACAATAAATAATAAACAACAATAGCAATAAACAGTAGTTATTTGAGCAATCTTACAGCTTGTCCAGAAATTAGTCCCACATTGCTCAGTTCAGTAAGATGTACTCACCGGAAAATGAGCACAGGAGTCCAGGCTCAGGGAATACTCAGATTTGTCATTGATAAAAATGCGCACAGGAGAAAAGCATGTAGGCAATCTCTAGGCTTTAGATTTTAGAAACCATGGTTTCTCCAAACTAATAATATATTTTGGGAATAAAATCGGATTTCTTTATATCAGTGGTTCCCAACCTTTTTTTAGACCAGGGACCACTTTGACCAGGGTCCACTCTCCAACATTAGTACCAAAAGGGTTACGAATCAGTTTTTGGTCAATTTTAGATTCAGTTTGGGGTGCTGATTCAGAAATGTGCATTGGATCGACCATATCAGCTCTAGTTTCTGATACAGAATATATGCCGTGGTCAGTGATTAGGAAGGAGTGGCAGGCAGTGTGAAAGGAGCAGAAATAAATAAAATAAAATACTGAAGAGGAAGGAGGCTTGTGGATCAGATTTTTGCCCTCGCAGCCCAGTGGTGCTCCATGGTCTACAGGTTAAGAACCTGTATCATCTATTCCAGCTTTATATCATCTATTCCACTGTCTGTTGGTTCCCATTACATATTGGAATCCTCAATTGTATAAAATAACTTCTACATCTCTCAAATAGTATATAGAATACTTTATCAAAGTATTTCTTTTTTGTTCACAGTATATCATAGATTATAAAGCAGCAATAAATGCTAATCTTGGGAATGCCACCATTGAAAAGGTAAGCAATGCTTTCCACTTTAAATTTTTTGCAAATATGATTTACCTTACAATTAATCTTCAAAATGCTTAAAAAAATATTGTCAGGGAATATGATGAAGGACTGACAAAAACATGATGCAGGAAAAAAAGCACAAATGCCATCGTTTGCAGTAATATGAAGCTTTTCTTACAATCAAATGTTTTTGGATAAAACTCATTTTATAATTCTCCAGTTTCTGTTGCTCAGTAAAGCAATGACCTGTCAGGGTTTAAGGAAGAGAAAGTCCACTGCATCAGCTGTTGTGAATAAGCACTGCCTTAGGCCTTGTCTATATAGCCAAAATGTAGACAAGTGGTAGAACAAAGTGAAAATAGTATAAAAAATTTCAGTTTCACTACCTCTGAGGATGCTTGCCATAGATGCAGGCGAAGCGTCAGGAGAGAATGCCTCTAGAATATGGCCATATAGCCCCCAAAAAACCTACAACAACCCAATTTTCAGTTTGATTCTGCCTGTTAAAATATTGAGCTGCAAACCACAAGGACAAAGTGTCCAGAGCTGGACTTGTTTTTGAAATACAAATACTCATGTGTGCACACACTCATATACATTTTGAAACCACTTCCCTCCCTTTTGTTTTCTCTCATAAGATTTCAGTGTGCCTTTTGGACCTGAAACAATGTGGACTCTTCTCTTTCTTCAAATTCCACCCTAGGATTGGTTTGTCATGAGATTCTTTGTGTACCTTAGAAACCCAGCATGAGATGTGGCTGGCTAACAGTGATGCTTTTGAACTGTTGTCCTTTCTAGTAGTTAAATATTTGGTTTGATTTCTAATTCCAACTAATTTTGGATTTTGGACAGTCTCTAAAAAGTTGAGCAAGATGTCTCTAAGTGTCTCCTCTTGGACATATTAATGTTGTGACTGGCACCATTTAGATCCATTTGGATAATTTTAAGGTTTTAAAAAATAAGAGCATTTACCTGGTCTCTTCTGAGGCATAGACCCATGTCAGTGCTTGAATTCGTGTTTCTTAGCAGAGCAGTCGTCCACCAATAGTCACTCATCTTCACAACATTGTATTTCACAATGTCTTGATTTCAGAACCTGTATGAGCCACTTATTTCACTGGGTGGACAAGATGCAACCTGCCAAATTGTTAAATCGTAATGCGATGAGCTCTAGCTAGCAAAGCAAATGGTAAAGCATGATGGGAGTTGCAGCTCAACATCATCTGGAATGCTGCACTTTCTCCCTTTGCATTAGGGCTTGCTATTACTCCAATTTATTTTAATTAGGCTTGATCAGGTGGGCTACCCCTAGTCAGTGTATAGCAAGGAGAAGTATACAGTCCTGAATTTCTGACTGGAGACAAAAATGTGTTTTATTATTTATTTATTTATTTATTTACATTATTTCTGTCCCGCCCATATCAGCCTGAAGGCGACTCAGGGCGGCATACAAAGTTGGCACAATTCGATGCCATATATAAATACATACATTGATAAAAAGAAACATTACAATACATTTAGAAGCATAAAAACAATAATACCATTTTTAAAATTGTATTATTTATTAGTTTTATTGAGCATAAAACAGACAAATACAATTATTAGATAGCATTACACAGAATATGTGATGCTTCAGCCTGATTGTTGCCATTAGTCTTTTAACAGATCCTTCTCATCCAGTCATCTTTCTCTGCCTTGAGATGAGATAATTAAAATGAAAAGGATGTGTCATCATTCAGTGGAGGCTGGGAGAAATGGCTTGTTGAAAATGGCTACATGTTTTGTAAAACATGTGAAAAGCCAGTCTCTTTTGCAAAGTTCCAAAAGTGCGGTCACCCAGTTGGTACTGACAACTGCCCTTAGCTGCTCTCCTTTGAGGTGGAGCATGAAGGGGGGAAAGCTTCTGCTACAATTTTCCTAGAATTGTAGAAAATTAGAAGTGCAAAAGGTTCTCTTGCTTTCTGTGAGGCAGTTGAGAGGGACCACTCTTTCAGGTTGTCTGAGGGCCAGACTGAAAGAGGGTAACTTTTCACTTGTAGACACTTCATTGTGTCAAGCTCGGCTGGAGACATTCAGGGACAGGAGTGGTTCCTTTTAAAGGTTACCTTCAGAGCCCAATACAAAGTTTGTGAACATATAGGTCTTGCTCAACCACCCCTAATTTCCAGAAGAGAGGTCAGCACCATCGGACATTTCATAAGTTCCTCTTTCTTCTGGAAAAATGATTAGAGCAAGAAAAGGTCCTGAAATGTGCCAAGAGATAAGTGAGACATTGATGAATTTGAGATAATGGGAGTGACTTGGCCACAAATAAAGACAGGGTAGAAAATTTGTAGACCCCAATTATAAATTAATCTTTGGGACATGTATAGCTCTTTGAGCTAGAGATGTCTTTTATTCTTCAGCTTATTATAGGAAAAAGCTACCGCTTCTTTGATCCTTTGTTTTGACACCACTTGGTTTCATGATGCAGTATTTGAAACATGAAGAACTTCTTTGTTTCATATGATTTTATTCGAATGTGTTCATCAAGAATTACAGTGTTAGGGTTTTCTCTTCTCGGGGTACTGTAGGGCTTTTTATTTCCATTACTTTTATTTATTTGGAACCAACCAAAACATTTCCTGCACCTGATTCCTCTGGTGCCCATTCAGACATCAGCTATAATAATTTCTAAATATAAGGCTTCCTCCTTGTGCAGCTATTCAGTGAAGTCCAATAGAAGCAATCTCAAAATTCAGTTTAAGCATTGTGTGTGAAAAGAGCATTCATTAGTCTTGAAAAATGCTGTCTTGGCATTGATTTTTTAAATGGAAGAATCTGAGTACAGTCTTTTATCCTTGTCCTCTATAAAAACAAACTTCATAAATCTACAAACTGATCGTAATCTGATACGTGGATCATGTATAAACAATTGGAATTATGTTGCATTTTTATATGCTCTCACACATGAGAAAAATAACTTCAGCTACTCCACAGAAAGAGAGGAAATATACAAAGTATACTAATGTGCTGGACACGACTCCAAATTTAGTCTAAATAAGGCTGATCAAGGCAGAACTATTCTTTATGCTGTGTTTACGGACTGAATGGTTAAGTGGACAAGCCTTATACAATGTGCTTGATTTTCTATTTATTATTTCTGTCGTTATATTGTGTTGTCCTGTTGTGTTTTTATGGTTTATATTTTAACTGATTTTAATTTTTTATGGTTTCATCACCTTGTTGTTTTTTTTTTTAATGTCTGGCCAATTTTTTAAAAAATGTTAGTTATCTTGAGCTCAAAATTGGAAAGGGTTTTGGAAAGTGAGTGAGAGAGAGAATACATGTTGAAATGCTATATTTCTTCTCCACCTTGAACAAAATATGCAATGTAGAAGTAATTTTTCACCAGTCACCTCTATATGAAAGCAATTCAAGTTACATTTGTGTAGTTATATCTGCTACTACTTTGCATTAAAACAACCATTACGACTCATCCTTCTCTTTTTTTCAAATAATGTAGGTCATTTATAATGTTTCTGGCATAGCTGCATATGACATCACAGAAGTTCTGCTTCTTATTTTTAAGGTTTTCGATAATAGTGGATTCACCATTTCATTCTTCTGAAAGTCATTGCTTCTGTTTAAGATTTGCTATTTCTAGTTTTAATAATTTTACAATATTTTGTATGCTATTTTCACCCATTCTGTAGCTTTCCACAATTAACACCATGATTAAAAGAGAAAAAGCAAAAGCATCTTGCGGATCTAGGTTCATTTAAGACACATGACCTTATGACTATTTCTTTATTTCAGTTTCCAGTTGGAACTGAGACTGAAGGGATGAATATCCTGGGACTTGTCCTTTTTGCTCTGGTTTTGGGGGTAGCCTTGAAAAAGCTCGGTCCTGAAGGGGAGGAACTCATTCGTTTCTTTAATTCATTCAATGAAGCCACCATGGTCTTAGTGTCCTGGATTATGTGGTAAGTGTTCTTTCAAACAATACACTCTGAAATACTTCTGCCCTACTCATTACTAACACTATCTGTCAAGTCAGCCTAAGGAGGACTCCAAAATATTTGGCATTTTACTTGAACATAAAATTATCTGCTCACTTTCTTTGTTTCAGCTATACTGACCATTTAAGTCAGTGTAGATTTAGATCAGCCGTGTGGTACTACACACCTCACAGGGTCTGTCTGGAATAACGTAAGACAAGGCCATCTTGTCACACATTACCCAAAGTCAGGAGAAATTCCTAGTTATGCCCCAGAATTAAGATTTTCCACTGACTTAGGGGCAGTGAGGACAGTTAGACTGGTTCTCAACCAGAACCAAGTGCAGTTGTCCCAACTGCCATCACCCATCTCGAGTGGCCAGGGGACAGGGATTTCCATCCCTGTCATCCCTTCTCTTCTGTGTTGTGGTCTCCAACCATGAAAGAGCACCTGCCTTTTCCCCATCGCTTGCTCTGATGCCAGCCAGAGTGATGTGGAATGTTGTCATGAGCAAGGATTCCCATCACTCTGAATGATATCAGAGCTGAGGTTTACGTAAACAAAAGCAAAATAAGCCAAAAAACATATTTCATTTATAAAGAAAAATAAAGTCTCAAGTCTTTCAAAGTCCAGTCAGAGTGGCAGAACTGCAAAACACAAAGCGATAACAAGGTGATGCCATGGTCAAGAGTCCAATTAATGAAGACAAGCCGAGGAGTGCAAATTCAGGTCAGGAACAACAACAAACAATAGCCAAGGTCACAGTCCAAAAGTCAAATGCCAGGAGTTCAATTATCAGGGTGCATCAGTCAAAGGCCAGCTATCCAGGAATACAAACCACAGTTAGATCAGAAGTCAAGGCAGAAATTCAGGAATGCAAACTGAAGTCAAAGTCCATAAAGCAAAGCCAGAAATTCAGGAATACACATGATCTGAAGCAAGACTACAAAGAAACCAAGGTCAGAATCCAGAAATCCTGCCAATCTATACAATGTTAATGAGATACCAGAATTTAGAGCAATCCAAGTTCAACTGGGAATAGAAAAGTAATAAATTGCATAGGGAACAAGATCCAGTTTTAGTCTTTAGATCTGAGGCAGACAGGGATTGATGGGGAAAGAGAATTTTTCAATCAGAGGCTTGATAGTATGAGAGTGCCGTAGAGGTAAGCTAATGCTGTATTTCATTGTATAATAGCCCCCCCCCCTTTGTTGGGAAAGTATCAGAATTGTATTTTTGGTTTTTTCACATAATAGTCACACCCGTGACTCAGATATTCTTCCTGGGAAACATCTATACTCTAGTCTGACATACAGAGATAATGTGTTTTATATAAATATATATTATAAGGAGCAGTATATTACATCTTCTTTCCACTTTTTTTTTTTTTTTTACGAAACAGACAAAAGCTTATCAGTATCTGCTTGAGTGCTCCCTTTCAGGAAAACTGACACCATGGCATGAATGTGTGCTTGAGTGCATTTTCAGTGTTTAGAAATGAAATCTGAGCCAGTGAATACAACCTCTCCCTCTCTCAATTTAGATTCACTTATATCTTTAGTACTCTTCAGATAAGAATTACTGAAGTGCACAGGGGATCGGTAGTTGCTATTATGTAGGCGCCATGTCAGCTGTTGTATATTTCTTATTTGGAAAAGAGAAGTGTTCCTTCAAAGTCCATCTTACCCACTAACCAAAATGCGGCCTGACTTCTTCAATATGTATGTCTGTGGATGGGGAGATCACATTATTTCTGATGTAATGTATATTGTCAGTTTAATGATAAAGCTGTATATGTTGCAGCCAGAAAAGGGTTGCAGCCTTGTGTTTCAAACTGGGGTTGGGAGTGGAGGGAATGCCAGGGACTGTAGGACATTGGAGAACGGGATAGAGAGGGCTCTTTTGTCTTACCTTGATCAGCAGTGAAGAGTTCCAAAGGGTCGATGGTAGTGTGTTTGGATCTATTGGATCAAAAACTAGGATCCCGTAGAGACTCTGCACTTGTGCCATTGATGGCTGTGCTAATGGATGTACTTAATTATAATTGACTTGCATGTGGAAAAGTCCTTATGTGAGCAGTCCCCTGTATCCATCTACAGTGCTTCTGGTTTTCACTGTCCAGCACCCTCCATCCTATCTGCCATTATGAAGAGCAGCATCAACAGAGCCTGCCACTCTGTTGGCTCTGCAGGTCTCTGGTGAAAGCTCTACCCAAGCTTACCTCTGGAAACCAGCATACCTTATTTCCTATCCCTTTGGAATCAATAGAAAAGAAATGATAAAGAGAGGAATGGCAGCAGAAGGCAGCTTAAGGGTCAACTGCTCTCACCACCTAACCAGCATGAGCTTAGAAAATGATTGTTCCTCCTCATGCAGACTTTTCTCCCCATAAGATAGCAATGTAAACTAGCTGAATGTTTCCACTAAAGCCAATGAGCTTTTTTTTTAGCCTTGACTTAATTTTACCTGACTTACCCTGAATCCAGATGTGTATGTATTGGGCCTTAATTTTTCTGCTTGGATTAATATATGATAATTATAAATTAACTTAAAATACCTTGGAGAAACTACCATAGCACTGCTTTGCACAGCCAGTGTCCTTCTAAGTGGTTTTGGTTACATCTGAAACCCGACGAATAGATTATATCCTGAATTGTCCAAAGCTTTCATGGCCAGAATCACTGGGTTGTTGTAGGTTTTTTCGGGCTATATGGCCATGTTCTAGAGGCATTTTCTCCTGATGTTTCAACTGCATCTATGGCAAGCATCCTCACCTCACTACCTCTGAGGATGCTTGCCATAGATGCAGGCGAAACATCAGGAGAAAATGCCTCTAGAACATGGCTATATAGCCCGAAAAAACCAACAACAACCCAGATTATATCCTGCCTAAATGCAGAGAGCTCAAGACACACAAATGTTGTTTATAACATTGAACCCATTTCCTTTTCTCCTGTTTGATTCTCCTGTCTGGTTTATTTGCCAAACTCCATTTGCCAAACTCCATCTTCCTTCAGTTAAGGTAACTTGGGGCAATGGTGAACCATCAGAGAATTGCCTTGATCCTCTGGGCCATTAAGTGAGGTTACACATTTCAGGACAAATAGCACTGAAAGAGGATTTTTGTGTGGGGGGAACCTTTAAAGCCTTGGCTTACATTATTGCCCATTCTCAGCTGGCTCCAGGGCTTTCTGGTTTGGCATGAAGATTTTTGCACATAGGTTGTTCTTGTGCATTATCAATGTACCCAAAAGTCAAGAGTGATGGGAGAAGAATACAAAGAAAGACTGGGGAGGCACATATTTGGGCATATTATGGGATTTGGAGCAAGACAGTAAACCAAGTGCCAATATTGTTAGTCACGAGACTTCTTTCACACAAAGCACCATCATATAGGACTAAGGAAAAAATCCCTGAGGTTTTGTGATGGAGTCGTCTAGAAACCTTTGGATAAGACAAGGCCATGTAAAACTTGTTGTGATGCTCCATGGGGTGCAACACTTAATGGTAACTGCAACTAAGGGTGTGTTTTGACAGCTGCCAAGCCATTGTAAAATGCCTTGTCCCCACACCTTGAGTTTGGGTTGCCATATTATCTGATTAGCTAGGCTTTGTCCACTTGTCCTTTTCCACAATAGTTTCTGGGCTCATTTCTGATCCGCTTCCAAACCCTCATCTGCTCTTCTGTGACATCAAAAGTTCACAGTGCTGGTGGCATCACAAGGGTTCCGATTATTTCTGATTATTTATTGAAACCAAAACTGGTGACATGGAAATGCCAACTGAATATTTAGCACCATGCCTGCTCCTTCTGAAGAAGTTGTCTTCCACAATTACCCTAAGCAGTGTTTTTTTCAGAAACCTTTTAATCATCTGCTTTTCATCTTTTTGATTAAGATCACATTACTGAAACCAGTTAAAAGCTGTGACATTGGAATGACTTGCTCTGAGTCTGGCAGAGGTTGAAGTATTTGAAAGGGGGGAGAAAAGAAGGGATATTGGTCCCAAAGCATGAAACAAATCATTTGAAAAACATGACGTTTGAAACCAGGATTTTATATTAGCTGTAATTATGGATTTGTAACAGTGCAACTTGAGGCTTTTACTCTCGAATAATTCATGTATTGTGATAGGTGATGGGTTTTTCTCTCAGACCTTATACTAAGCCAACACTCTAAATGAATCAGTCACCACATAATCCTCCCCTTTGTAGATTATGGGCACACAACTTGGCTCCCAAATGAAGAGAAGTGCTTTGTATAAAAACTACCCTGCACAAAGATTAAAGGATCAAACAATTAAACTCAAAATTTAGGATCAGAAACAACCAGACTGTTAAATTGTATTCCCACTGCCTTAAGTTCTATGTCAGGGAAAAGTTGGGATATAAATACAACACAAGCTAATGTTTAATGTTGATGTTTGTACAGGTATGTTCCTTTTGGCATTATGTTTCTTGTTGGAAGCAAGATTGTGGAAATGGATGATATTGTCGTGCTGGTGACAAGTCTTGGAAAATATATTTTTGCTTCAATTCTGGGCCATGTTATCCACGGAGGGATCGTTTTACCACTTATTTACTTCGCAATCACACGCAGAAACCCTTTCAGATTCCTGTTAGGACTTATAACACCACTTACAACTGCCTTTGCTACTTGTTCCAGGTTGGTTGATTTTTGCTTTTATTTCTGAAACAGGAATAAGTTATTCTGAATTATTACATTTGACTATTGTCCTCCTGATATCTCTTCATATTTTTTATGCATGATGAAGGACTTTTAAGGGAGAATAGCATCCCAGTTCTCTAAGTGTGCATCTCTACTGTAGAATTAATGCAGTTTATGACCACATCATATTTCCTGTCTCAATTGAATCATGGGAGATGTAGTTTTCCAAGGTTTTAGCCTTCTCTGACAGAGTTCTGGTGCTTGACAAAACTCCATATCCCAGTATTGCATGGCATTGAGTCAATGCAGTGAAACGTGTGCCAGACTGCATCCATTCTACAGTGTAGCTATAATAAATCCACATACATATGTGTCTTAATACATTGATGGCATGGTTTCATGACTAGGAGTTTAAATATCCTGAAAGAATAAGCACGTCTGTTGTCAGAGCAGAGATGTTTAACTATTAGGCAATGAGATTATTTGTCTTGTGCCTCCAAAGCAAACATTGGAATTTAGTCCAATATTTTCCTAGAAAATTGATCTTTAAATTAGTCATAATACCACTGAAGCAGAAATAATAATAAAGAATATGCTCTAAAACATCCTTTTGTTTTGTCACAAGATTTGATTGTATCCTTTGGACATGAAAAATGTAAAGGTCTTTTCTAGTGACCTAAAACAGCACGTATCTGGAATGCTGCGTAATGTACTTAGACTGACCAAGAGATTTGGCTTCTAGGATAGTTTATGTTTCAGGTTAGAAGACCCTTTCATGACCTGCTGTTGTGTTTCTCTTGAAACATTTAGCTCTGCAACTCTTCCGTCAATGATCAAATGCATTGAAGATAACAATGGAGTAGACAAACGAATTAGCAGGTTTATTTTGCCCATTGGTGCAACTGTTAACATGGATGGAGCTGCAATTTTCCAGTGCATAGCTGCTGTCTTTATTGCTCAACTGAACAACTACAGTCTCAATATTGGACAGATCTTTACCATTCTGTAAGTTGTAGTTCAAGCCAGTGCTCCCCATAGCCAAATGCTATGTTGTTTTTATTTATTGCATGTCAACAAAAGAATTGTCCAGTTATATGGCTTTACTGATGAAATTCCTGTTTGCCTTCTTTTGTCTGATTCTTATGCTCTTTGATTAATCTACAGTTTAGAAAATTCATGGTGGGAAGGTGGCAAATGGAGTGAGGGGCTGGTGCTTTGGCAGGCCATGGAAGAACAGGCAGAGGGGCATCAGCAAGGAGGAGGAAACAGACCTAGATAAGCAGCAGCTACAAACTTGCAAATAATCAAATCCACAAAAGAGAAATCTTCAAATATGTGTAGCCAAATGTAATTCAAATATAAAAGAAAGCAGCAGCTAGATACGCAAATACAGGTGTCCATTCTTACCTGGAAGTAAGTTCCAATGAAGCAAATGGGCCTTTGTGGTGAAGTGTGAATTTTAGCCTACAGTCATGTATAATTATAGGTAGGTGTTTAAAGGGGTAACATAACTAGGGGAATGGTAGCCAGCTCAGCTCACTCTGAGATGGGTTGCCATGGAAAAAGGGGATGAGCCAACTGCCACTTGGCAAGAGCAGGCATTTTAAATAGGTAGTCTGTGGTCAGAGAACCACAGGGAAAGCTGGTTCTACTGTGTTGAGAGAATCAGGAAAGTTTAGGCTTTTAGCCTGTGTGGTTTAGATAGGTCAAGTTGACTTATTTAGATTAGTAGTTAGGGTTTGAGTAAAAAGGGGAAGAGAACCCCAATAAGAATATTTACTGTAACAGAGATAACAGAAGGAAAGAATAGGCTAGTACCTGGAGTTATCTGTTAAGGAAAGAAACACATTTTGAAGGAAATAAGTTTAAAACCTGTCTAGTGGAGAGAACAGTCCTCATAAGAGTTGTTTTATGAAAGGTTATAAATGTAACCACTAAAGGAATGTACCTCTAGGAGTTAAGAAACATTGAAACCATTAAGCTTCTATACTTCAATAAACTTATTACAGTTTCTCTTCAATACAAGCCTCTGTTTCGTATACTTTCGAGTCAAGCCACGCTACACATCAAAGGAAGATAAACAAAATATTACAGGTTAGTGGCTGTGTAATCGATTTTGAAGATTCATTATAAATGGTAGGAGACCCTGACAAGTCAGTAACATCCCTACAACTGATGGCGTCGTTACAGCCTTATACCTTAGACATGTAGGTTTGCATTCTAAGCTTACAATCCAACACACAAGTGTTTTGTTTTGTTTTGGGGGTTTTTTATGTTCATTCTACATTGCAGAGAAAGAGCTGCACTTTTGAACTGGGAACATGATAAACGTGTTTAAGCCTACTGCTGGTAATACACTTAGGATGTACAACAAGGATTAGAATTTGCATTACAAAACAGCATCGCTTCTTTAGTGGATAAGCTTCTCAGACCAGTGTGCAGGAAGGAGAAAATATGCATGATGGCAAAAGGACATATTTTGCATATCCCTGATCAATATGTCCAATTTCGGCATAATAGTAACTAATGCTAATTCTCATTGACAGTGTTACTGCAACGGCATCCAGCGTAGGAGCTGCTGGAATCCCGGCTGGAGGAGTCCTAACCATAGCTATTATCTTGGAGGCCATTGGACTTCCCACTAATGATATTTCTCTCATATTGGCAGTGGACTGGATTGTGTAAGTACCAAATAATCAGATGTAGTTAAAGAGCATATCACTTTGGTCATGCTAGGGGTAGCATGACCAAAACTGATGATGTAATCTTCTGCTGAAAGGGGGACATGAGAGAAAGATAAATAAGAAAATAATTAATATTCATGAAAAGTTTGGTGTCTGAGTTACAAGATGGGACCATATGTATACATAATGTTAGTTTAAATAATTTTACTAAGGACCAAACTAAACTAAATGCTAAGGCACAGTTTCAGGTGTGGGATAATTTGGGTTTCCCATCCAATTTGGAGTGTGTTTTATACTGCAAACGTAAGACCCAGCAGTTGAAACCACATATGGAAAAGTGGATGGAGGCAGATGCAAAATGGTGGCTAAGGAGGCAGGGTCATTTGCCTACTGCACTCCATGATACCTCACCCATCAAGGCAGGGAATCTTCTTCCATACTGGCCACTAAAGTTCATTGACATATGTGTACAAGCAGTATGGAGAAGGAAGTACCCAATTCAGGTTGTAGGGTTTGAGCATAGCTATTTCCCCTTATGAGTAACCCTGCTCCATTTCTCATTATGCCCCTTGTCTGGAGAGTGAACTGTCTCTTAAATATGTTTTTAATTAGAAGATGCAATTGATTTAAGTTTTATTGTTCTTGTTATGGTTTTTATATTATGTATTGATGTTTTTAAACGTTTTATGGTGTTGTTGGACATTGAATTTTTGCCTCTGTAAACCACCCTGAGTCGCCTGAGGGCTGAGAAAGGTGGTATACAAATATAGTAAATAATAACTACCGTATATACTTGAGTATAAGCCGACCCGAATATAAGCTGAGGCACCTAATTTTACCACAAAAAATGGCGAAATGGATTGACTCAAATATAACCCAATGGTGGGAAATGCAGCATTTACAGGTCAATTTCAAAATAAAAATAGATACCAATAAAATTACATTAATTGAGGCATCAGTTGGTTAAATGTTTTTGAATATTTACATAAAACTGTAATTCAACATAAGACTGTCCATCTCTGATTTAACCTTCTTCAATGTAAATATGCTTATATATCCTTCCAATAATAATTAATTGAGTAAAATAATAATAATAGTAATAATAATAATAGTAATAGAGTCAAATAATAAATGTAATAATAACATTAATAGAGTAAAATAAATGTAACAATAACAATAATAAATAGAGTAAAATAATAAATGTAATAACAACAATAATAAAGTAAAACAACAAGAACAACAATAATAATGATGATAACAACAACAACAAAGTAAAATAATAAATAACCTTGACTCAAGTGTAAGCCGGGGGAGACTGAAAAGGACTGAAAAACTAGGCTTATACTCGAGTATATACAGTAAATAAATATGGTGAGTGGTCAGTCTGAGAAGTGCTAATCTATAGCGTGATCAAATTAAAACATATCCAGTGATATTTCCTTGACACTGGAGCTCTACTTTACAAAATGCCCATTTTGAGCCTGGTTGTATGTTTTCCCTATCACCAGGGACCGGACCACCACAGTTGTGAACGTAGAAGGGGATGCCTTTGGGGCTGGTATCCTTCACTACCTGAATGAAAAGGAAACGAAGGAGAAGCAGGCAGAACTGAGTGAAGTCCATGTGGAAGCTGTTCCAAATGTCAAGGCTGAGGGGGAAACATCACCTTTGGTCATGCACCAGAACCAGGATGTGTCATCTAGCAGTCTATCGGCAAGCACGAAAGATGTTGAATCAAAAGAATCAGTCCTATGAATGTGAAGGATGGGGGAAGGGGGACACCCTGCTGACCCTGCATTGTATTTTGTACTCTGAGCAGGTACTGTTTGGCCATTTGGAGTTCAGCAGATACATCCTTTTCCTTCTTGGGTGGTAGGGGACACAAATGGTAGCCAGCTGCAGACTACTGAGTGAGTATGTATAACAGTGTTATGTAAGTATGTGTGTGTGTGTGTGTGTATGGTGTGCCTCCTCCCCACTCAGAGGAAAAATAACCCTTCCTGCAATAGGATACTGATGTGTCACGTGCATGTGTGCTTGTGCAAATTATGGCACGTACACACATACCAGTGTGAAAGAAAGCCATTTCAGCAAAGTTTTTTTTGTTTTGTTGACATAGAGAGTAAGACAGATGGCTGAAGTTAAACCTTACCCAGCGAGGTCACCATGTTAGTCTCAGTTTCTCCTGTTATTGCATCACACTTCTTACGTTGTACTTAAGAAGATTTCTTGGAGAAATCAGAAAAAACAAATGAATGGATGGAAAACTTCTGAGGTCTCAAGGTGCAAGTGGATTTTCTGCCACTGGACTCACTAGCGCCCACATAGACAACCCCCCTCCAACACAAAAAAAACCCAAAGCAAAAGAGAATAAAAACAAAAGGGCTGGAAGTCCCCTTCTCTTTATGTAAAATGGGTTGTTATCGTGTTGTGTCTAGGTTTTTTAAAAACTAACTTGACAGTTCATGGGAGGAGAGTGCAACTTATTTAATAAGTGAATCGTCCCTTCTAGAAGTTTTGTGGAGAGATTGTTTGCTCTTCGTTAATTTGGCCAGAAAAAATAATTGTCCAGGTTGAAAACTGCAAAAACAGTTGGGGGAGGGGGACAAGCTACCTTCACTCCAAAGCCTGTATTGTGACAATATCTGCCTTTGAGAATCAGAATAGAAGAGATCCAGCGTTCGATATTTTTTTTATTTTTATGTTTGCTTTTCACATGACATCTCAAACAATAATCTGTATTGAGAAATTAATCAATTAAAAAGAATGTTTAGGTCAGATATGGGCAAACTTGGTCCTTCCAGGGGTTTTGGACTGTGTTTGCCTTGGTGTTGGGCAAACTTTGGGCCCTCTGGGTGTTTTGGACTTCAACTCCCACAATTCCTAACAGCCTCAGGGCCCTTTCGCTTAAGCAGCTGAGCAGGTAAAGAAAGGGGCCTGAGGCTGTTAGGAATTGTGGGAGTTGAAGTCTAAAACACCTAGAGGACCCAAAGTTTGCCCATGCCTGGTTTTGATGGTCTGAATAAGAAATGGCAAGTGGCTGAATCTCAATTTGTTACTGTGTAAACATGTTCACAGTGACATTCCCTTGGCAACATTCACGCAAGAGGCTGAGCTTGCCTTTGAGCCTTTCCCAGCTCTTTTTGTTAACATCTGACAGTTTATGCAGAATGTGAGTGTGCATTCTGTTTTTGCCTTGGTGTTGTGTATTTAAGCTTCATGTGATCATGCCCTGATTTTGCTTTTTATTCATTAGAATGGAGATTTGAGCAAGGCCTTGAGAAAATTATCCATATTTTCACTGTCCTGAAAGGTCTCCTTTTTGTGTGGAATATAGTAAAAATTATTTATTATCTTCTATTACCATGAAAATAATGTTGCTTGAGAAATGCTCTCGAATAGCCAGTCAAGTTTGCTCTGCCAGGTTCTCCTGCAGCAATCATGCAATCTGTAAATATAATCCCATTGCTTTTCTGTTGGCTAATCATTAAGTATAAAATTGCACCTTCCCCTTGCTTAATTTGCTGCTTTATTATACCAGTAGGACTGTATACTTACAGCCTTGGATCTTGTTGTGGTGCCTGACTTGCATTTCTTTCCCCTATGAATGGCAGCCATATGAACTGAGGCTTCTGTATGGAACAGATAAACTTAGTTTATCCAGAGGATTACATTCCAGAGAAAGGCAATGCCCAGCATTCCTTATCTTGGTACCAGTTTGCATTCTGCACATGAGTTACATAGCCTGCAAACAGCTCCATCATTTAAGGTCCTATCTCCACTGTCATATAATGAAGTTTGAAAGTGTATTACATAGTCAATGTAGATTCATATAATGTGGTTTAACTGCATTGAACCACATATTATGAATCTACAGTGACCATATAATGCATTATGTAGTGATTTAAGTACATTGAACTGCATTATATGAGTCTACAGTGATCATATAATGCATTATATGACAATGCAGATGGGGCTTAATTTAGGAAACTTGATATCCTCAGTTGTAGATAAAGGTAAAGGTTTCCCCTGACATTAAGTCTAGTGGTGTCTGACTCTGGGTGGTGGTGCTCTTCTCCATTTCTAAGCCGAAGTGCTGGCGTTGTCTGTAGACACCTCCAAGGTTATGTGGCCAGCATGACTGCATGGAACACTGTTACCTTCCCACATTTGATCTACTCACATTTGCACGCCTTCAAACTGCTAGACTGTTGGAAGCTGGGGAACTTACTCCGCTCCTTAGATTCGAACTGCCAACTTTTGGTCAACAGGTTCAGCAGCTCAGCAGTTTCACCCCCTGTGCTATCAGTGGGTTAAATCCTCAGTTGATTTTGCACAATTTCCAACAAGAAATGAAATAAACAGTTGAAATAAACCCTTTCCTGACCACTGAATTAATCTGATCTGTAGAATTTGTAAATTCATTGTTCCTCTGGGAAACATCTGAGTTTTTCGAGTAACAAATTTGCAATAGTAAAATAGCGAGAAGAGATCCGCAGGCAGTAGAGGCCAAATCAGACAGAATGGCTTAATCCAGTTGCTGATCCCAATTAGTGTTAACCAATTAAATAAATGCTTAATGGTTAGTTAACACAATAGACTCGATGGACGTATTATAATTGGAACCCGTACACAGAATATAGACCTATATCCATTTTTGAAATGTAAAACTTTGGTTGGGAAAAGTATCTTTCCATTGTATCTACATTGCACATAATATTTTTGAGTCCCCTTTGTGGAGATAAAAAGTGGGGTATAAATAAACATAATAATAATAATAATAATAATAATAATAATAATGCTGCCTTTCCCCCCTAACCTCAAAGGCCCCAAATATTACAGCCCACCTTCCTAGGGTAGTTGATACAAATACTGATAACTATGGCTTACCTTTCATGTACTTTATTTAGATCAGGGGTCCTCAAACTAAGGCCCGAGGGCCAGATATGGCCCTCCAAGGTCATTTACCAGCCCTCACTCAGGGTGAACCTAAGTCTGAAACAACTTGAAAGCACACAACAACAACAACAACAACACTCTCTCATCAGACAAAAGCAGGTCCACATTTCCCGTTGAAATAGTAATTAAGTTTATATTTGTTAAAATTGTTCTTACTTTTAATTATTGTATTGTTTTTAAGTGTTTTTTGCACTACAAATAAGATATGTGCAGTGTGCATAGGAATTCATTCATGTTTTTTTCATATTACAATCCGGCCCTCCAACAGTTTGAAGGACTGTGACCCGGCCCTCTGTTTAAAAAGTTTGAGGACCCCTGATTTAGATGTTTGGTAGGTGACCAGGACCAGGCACATTATTCCGAGTGCAGTTAATGTCAAGGCACTAAAAATCAGAAAGTGACTAGACAAGTGTGTGTGTAAACAAATAGTGCAAAGAGAATATAGTAGGCATTTGTTTTCTGCAATGTCTTGTCTGGGCTCAACGTCTTGAGACTGCTAGTGAAGGTCAAGTGGAAGGGGAGAAATCCCTCCAGTTAGAAAATGAGTATTCCTGAAAGCTAACCACAGCCTCTTCTCTGGCATATCAGTGTTCTGTGTGGGGAGCTTTAGTGGTGGTAAGCATCCAATTGAGTCCCACGACAACTTAAATTCGCTTAATCTGAATACCCCTACTTCTGGGTGACCACTACGCTAGTGAGAATTATGCTGTCTGGAAGCCATGGCAGACTATCCCTCCTCCCCTCTCCTTGTGCCATGACTGGCTGAAGCCACAACATGAACACCTACCTTAACCTCAGAGGTCCAGCAACCTCTTGTAGCTCTCATGACTCACGAAGAAGTCTGAGAGAAGGAAGTTATTGGGAAGTGGGGTGTCCCTGCTGCTCAGAGGTGGTTCAGGGAGCCCCTGTCATGCTACAAAGCAGATCCAGTATGGTGTCTCAAGTTGAATTGTGCCTGCTTTATTGATCAGTGTAGAAGAGCCCTAAACTACCCTGGTTTCCCACTTCTTATCTCTACCAAATGGCTGTAAGGGTGTTTCTCTGTGTCTCTATCTCTCTTCATAATTCAAAGGAGGAATCAAGATGGCAAGCAGCTGACAACTGCACAGGATAAGTGCTGTTGGCAGCAAGCAATTTCTCTGTTTATGTACCGGGCAGCCCCTGGACCCAATCCAAGGTCATCCTATCCTTGCTCCCCCGGTGAGCTGAGTACATTTTGCAACACATGCCCTTTTGTACCTTGCCAACAAGCAAACGCAGCATTTGAATATGGGCAATGCAAAATTCCTCAGGTGCCTTGTGGAACTCTAAACTAGGAGATGGCCATTATGCATGCAGGAAACCACCTTGTGCTGGGTCATACAACACTGTCCTTGTTAACCCAGTTTTGTCTATTTGGCAGCTGCTGGCAGTTGTTTTCCAGGTTATCTATACTTGTTCTCTATATATTACTTGCAAATGGGTCCCCTGTAACTGATGGTGCTCGGAATTAAATGTACCATGCCATTGGGTCCTCCCCCAGCTCATTCCAATTACTGTAGTCTGGTTTATTAGTACCATTTTCTTTCAGCTTATACTACAGTCTTGCAGGTAACATGACATTCCCCATTCTTTTTTTGCATGCTTTCTATACAGAATGTCCCCTGCTCTCATCTCTTTTTTTACGGCCTAGATTCGTAAAAAAATGTTTGTATCAGGAGTGACCTTAGAAACTTCAAGTCGTTTCTGATGTGAGAGAACTGGCTGTCTGCAAGGACGTTGCCCAGGAGACTCTGGATGTTTTACCATCCTGTGGGAGGCTTCTCTCATGTCCCTGCATAGAAAGTGCAGCTGACAGACAGGAGCTTACCCCACTCCCTGGATTCAAACCTCTCACCTTTTGGTCAGCAGTCCTGTGCCGTTCAGCAGTGGAACTCTCTGCCCCGGAGTGTGGTGGAGGCTCCTTCTTTGGAAGCTTTTAAACAGAGGCTGGATGGCCATCTGTCAGGGGTGATTTGAATGCAATTTTCCTGCTTCTTGTCAGGGGGTTGGACTGGATGGCCCATCAGGTCTCTTCCAACTCTTTGAGTCTATGATTCTGTGATTCTATGCTGGCACAAGGGTTTCTGAACAG